AACTGAAGAATTTGAATGCTGATTTTCAAGGTAGGAAAGATTTCAAAGATTAGTGTGCACTATTGATCTAATTAGCTACAGAGTTGTAACCCGGTTCATCAGTCAGTCATTAGTGGTGATACCATTTAACAAATGGAAACTGCCAACGTAGGAGATCACTGCGAAATCATTCGGGAATTAGCAGGCAGGATCAAGATTAGTGTGGAAGTTCGTGTAAAAAAAAAAGAATCCCTCGTTCCATAAAAACCTGCATATACATGTGTGGTGGGGGTGTCCTCATTTCCTCACAACTTTCCAGAAAAGGAAACGGAGTCAGTTGCTCACGCGACATTTTGACTATATGTCAGGAAAACGAGGGACATTTCTCATCCGACTAACTACGCAAGATGAAATATGGGTTCATCAATAGAGTTTAAATAATGGAATTGGGACTTATTATATCCAGTGTTGTTGAAATTACGATCTTTACAATCCGCAGTCGCGATATGCCCAACAAAGATATCCCAGTCTTGTAAGACAATGCGCCGAAACACAACAGCTATGTCGCGCAAATTGGAAGCACAATTATGTGGCTAAGAAGTTCTTCTCCTGCCCCACTATTATCCTGATCTGATGTCATCTGATTTCCACTGTTTTCCCTCATTTTAAGTTCTGTTACATTTGAAGGGTAGATATTTCCAGACAGGAGAGGTGCTGAGGCGCCTTTCATCTTCGCTGTCTTAGACACATCCTGGGTATCAATTCGTCCGACCGGGTCACTAATGCCGTAGTTCTCACCCGTGCTCAGTTACCAAACCTATATGCCCTTCTCCAACAGCATTGGCTCCTCTGGTTTGGACATGTATATCATATGCCGGATAGGAGGATTCCGAAGGTCCTTTGTACGGAGAATTGGCTACCGGCACGAGGGCGACCTCATCTTCGATTCAAGGAAGTCTCCAAAAGGAACATGAGGGCGATGGACATCGACATGGGGGTGGGAAGACGTCGCTAACGATTGCACACATTGTAGATGCGATTTACACCGAGGGCTGAAGCGAGGAGAGGAGAAACATCGGGGAGAAACGGGCTCGACGGAAAGAAAACAATATGGCGACATCAAGGGAAAGCGTCTTCATATGCATTCATTGCAATCAAGGTTGTCACTTCCGTGTGGGACTGTCCATACAGCCACAACAGATCCTGCACCGTCACCAGCAGCCGAGTCATAACACTTTGGGCGCATATCCAAAGTTTCTCAAGATCGACGGACGCCACACACACTTCTATGATGACACACTAATTAATGAAGTGCAGTCATGGTTATAGTCCAGACCTATTAAAAGCTACAAGAAAGTTCACAACAAATATATCAAACTATGTTGGGGGGGGGGGAACTCCGGGTCGGAGCTATAGGTAGAAGAATTAATGAAGGTGCTAATTTTTGTTTCTTAATCCGCTGGAAACAGGTAAAAAAAAAAAAAAAACTTTAATGAAAATTGTATTTCCATTCTAAAATTCTCAATATCTATCTATCTATCTATATATATATATATATATATATATGTGCGTGTGTGTGTGAAAAGTGTATATAAATATAAATAAATATATATATGTATAATTATTTATATATTATATGCGCGGTACTTATTAGAAAGCGCTCAATATCAGAGATAGAGCTAACATATTTGGTTGGATAGATCTGTTCTTGGAATTGAATATCATAAAATTTTGCGATTCAACAAACTGATTAACATTTTAAAAAATTCCATTATCACAACTCTAATTAAAGAGGGACAGAGGAAAACAGCGCGTAACATACTTGATGAGCTTGATTAAATGGATGGTTGAACAAGGTTTGGGAGAAATAGTAAAGAGACAACATTTATTAATAGCGGCAGGGGACAGGAGGATGTGAAGGTTGATATAAAAAATACGTCTTTTAAGGAAACGGCATAAAAAAAAAAAAAAGACATTTTTAGAGAACATCTTTTTTGAATTTAACAATGCTCAATTTTATTAATAGTATTTAACAGCACGGGAAAACGAATCGACGAACCTAATAAAAACTACAGCTAGGACATTTTTCAATACCTTTTCTCTAATATCCCTGATAATGGCCTGTATCCACTTCTCCAGCTAGTATAGGTAAATAATATAACGTGAAATGCTTTTATCTACATTGTTCGATTAATTGGTCAGATTACAGATCACTCTTTGTTGCTGGTTCCATGTAAGCTAGTACAATCTGTCGCATATTATTTGTACAGGAGCTGCTAAGTAACCACCATTGCCGACTGTCCTGACAGATGCTATGAAGAGGAATTACTTGTCATGGCACCCCAATGATCTAATAATCATGGAAAACTTCTTATTTTCCAAATTAAATTATACTTGTTATATCGTCATAAATCTTTTTATATCAAGAATATCGTTTATATGCAGATGTCACTTTGTAGATTATTTTGATTTTCTTGGCACCTATTTAGAGATACGTGCATTATAAGTTTTTTATATTGATATTTATAGAGAATATGAAGCATTTTTGCAGCTGAAAAGAGAATAAATATAAAGATCTTCGATTGTTCTTATCGTTAACAAGCCTATAAATAGCTTTGCCTTGATACTTTTTAGTTGAAAAGCCACTCTTTTTTTTCGATTCTTCCATACTGGCTTCCTTTGTTTGTTTAGCTAACTATAAATTTGGCATTGGTTCTCGTCTTCTTCCATGTAAACTTGCTTATGTAGCGTGTTTCAACATTTTTTCAACTAAAAAAAAAATACCTAAATATTATAATTATGCTTACAATATGTCGCAAACAAAGAAAAGAATTTGTAACATTACAAATATTTCATGTTTCATTTGGATAACCGGAAGGAAGATAATGAATGTTTAAGAATAAAATAGAGAAGGGAAAAAGAGAGAAAAAAAACGAAAAAAAAAACGGATGAAATACAAGTTTGATGATATCATAAAAGAAAAAAAAAGAAGAAAAAACAGAGTTAATTGTCTTTGGTGGAAGTTGAAGTAAAAATAGCGTATCTTTGTAAATCTTAAGTGTACCATTGTAAATCTTAAGATGTCTGAATGTCTTGTGACGCATTGTCATTATAATCAATGTTCAGCCATTTTTTATTTATTTCGTCCTTTTTAATGCCGCGCACAGAACATGAACCGGAAATAAAGAACTTCATCATAAGTTTATTCTTTGTTTCCGGTTCATGCTGTTTGCTTAGTGTTTGTGGAATAGATATAAATGTTGCATTAAAACATAGGATGTAAAAATAGTCAAAGATCAATAATACTAGTGTATACCCTCCACTTCTTTTGAATAATATGTGCCAATTTAACTTGAAATATGTTAAATGTATAAGACTAGCCAAATGAAAACTTTTTTCTTCTAGTAATGTTGGTCAATCAGAAGTTACTCAAAGCAGTAGAAGAAAGGATGCTGTGGAGTTCCATGAACGCACAAATCCTGAAGAAATGTTGGCACGTAAAAGAAGTGTTGTCAGAACCTTCCATTTTCATAGGTAGGAGACAGAAAATGGCAATGTAAAACGAAATATATATAAAGCAAAAATCTTATCTAATAACAACAATATTTTATATGAAGTGTATTAAGCACTTTATTTGGGGTTTTGTTATATATAATGTCATATGCAGATTGTTATATCAAAACTGAAGGAGTTCTAGATTTGGGTTTTGTACTTGTTTAAGCTGGTGTCTACAAACTTCTGGTAATAAACTACAGTAGGTCAACAAACCCGACATATATTTATCTACGCTTGATTATAAATGTAATACGATAGAACTTATTCATTTTTAAGGTACGTAATAATGGTCATTTCTTTAAAGAAATTAACTCAAATACTTTTCTTTAATATAATTAAGACTATTATTGCCAGATGGGAATAATTATTATTAACAGAATTTAATAATTTTATGATTTAACAAGATTGGAACAATAAGTTAATATTTATTAATTAAATTTTGATCTGAAATTTTCATTGTATAATATCCGATCTAATTACTGGAGAACTGAGCACATTGATAAAAGAACGAGACTATTTTGAAAAATAAATATTTATGTAAAATCCTTTTTTCCATTAGGCTGCGAACTTATTGATATGCTTGCAAAAATAATGTTTTATATTTTAAATAAAGTTGATAGATTGATTTGTTTTTTTTACGGAGTTTTTAATCAACATTGACAGAAAAAGCCAGAAAATTTTTTTACAGGAAATAAGAATTTGGGGTTGGGAGATAATGATTTAGTTATAGAAGTCTTACTGATTAACCCATAGCTTGGGGAGAAGAAGTGGATGCATACCTTTCCTAAGGGTAACTACTCGTAAGTGAATATAATTTTTTTCTTCAGAATCCATCTTGCACATTTATAAATTTACCATTAATCCATGCATTGAATAATGTTGAATAATATCTGGTCTTCAATGAATCTTTTGTACTTTTGATTTTCGTAAAAAAAAATCCTAGAAGGATCGGAAGTAAAATCTTGACCAAGCATCCATTTCCAGTTCCTTTATCACCAATATGAAGACATGGCTTCAAACTAGTTCTATAAATATTTTCATAGCATTTTGTTCGGATGATTTAAAATTTCCCGGTGTCGGAAACATGAATTTAAACGTGCTACTAGACTGTAATTTAGGTTTCACCGTTTTACTGTTGAACTAGTTAAATGTATTTCAAAAAATTTTTAGAACTTCCAACCTGTGGATTTTCCTGGTGATTATATTTTATTTATTGACAACTAAAAAAAAATTTAAATGCAAAATCGTCATTTTAATTTCTTGGATCAATGTTCCTTTTTTGCCCATTCTTCGAAATTTTCAAACTTATCATTTCTACAGGAATATATTCACTTCTGTAAACCCCCGTAAAAAATTAGGTGACATTGTTGCATTGCTTGGGGTGAAACGATTAATATATATATAACGAACCCGACGGGAATTGGGACTTCAAAGCCGTTATCCATTACATTAACTGTACATCCAAGCTTACAGTACCTAATATTCCTAAGTGATCACATATCTAGCTACTGTCCAGGTTCGACGTTGCTTAACTTCGGTGATCGTACGGGAACCGGTGTTTTTACGTGATATGGCCGTAAAAAAATTTCATAGTTCTTCATTCATAACAAAATATATACATACGTAAAAGTCATTAATTCGGATTTTTTTTAAAGATACGAATATACAGAATTATTTATTGTAAAATAGATACCTGAAGTTGAATTATAAATTATCAATTTTGATGATAATTATTATATTTCATTTTTTAAAATATGACTCATGTTGTCTTTACAAAAGACGTGATCTTTTCCTACAACCATTTATCATGCAGTGAAAAATTTAACTTGTCATGATCAAAAGTCAAAACACTATCCGTGATAAACATCTAAAATTGTACAGTATAAGTGAATAGTTTAATATTAATTTTCAAAATTTTGAAAAAAAAAAACAAATTGATGACCAACATAATAGAGTAAAACATTGATTTTACACTGATTTTTAAGTCGTATATTTTTGTTAGAAAAATCATGATTGTTAATTTAATCATGACAAAATAAAAACTGCAATTAATTTTAAATCATTGAAATTTGGTCATGTTGAACTCAATCAGCATTTTTGTTTTGGTGACGAAGATGGTATAACCGACTTCAAAAGTGAAAATATTCATTTTAATTATAATATATATTTTGTTGTTTACAATTACAGACGACACCTAAGGTTTAAAATTAATTTTAAAATGAAAAATCTTTCTTGAAGCTTTTATTTTAGTTTTAATTTCAAGCTAATAGATTAAATTTAATATTTTCAATAAGCAAAATATTTTGCTGTATTTCAAAACTAATTTAAATTTGATTTTTTTTTTTTTTTTTTAAATTGCTAAAATTTTCAGCCATTTTTACAAATCTGTCATCACAATATAATTCTCTTTATTAAAAAAAATTCAAAAATAAAATATACTTTTCTGAAACTTTATTTGAGGAATATTATTGATTTAAAGTTTAATTAATCTGATTTAAAACAAATATTATTACTTTAAGTTTAAAATATCGCAGAAATGCATTTTTTAACACAGAGGTTTGTTTATTTAAGGTGTTGATAATTGACTTAGTTGACAACATGATTTATCTATTTTTTAAAAATAATATGTTTAAAATTTATTTGGAAAAATAAGAAAAATTTTTTTTTATTAATTTTTTAATACCCAAAAATTTTAAAAATTAAAAAAATATTATTTTATTGATTTAATCTAATGTTTTATTGAATTTTTAGATATTTTGGCTTTAAATTTACTATAAGTTATCGCTTTTATTTTTTGATAATGTTCTTGTATGGATGTCGTATTTACAAAAATTGGGCACGTTTAAAACACATAAAAAAAAAAAAAACAAATTTTTTTAAAATATTATTGGTGTTTGATGATTTGTAGTAAGCTTTTCCATTTATGATTAGTAAAAATAGTTTTTACTTAATAACAATATCACCTAACCTTTAAAAATTAATACAGAATTTTAAAAGATTTAAAACTTTATAAATTATTTAATTAAATTTTAAAAAAAAAAAAACAATTTTTGTAAAAATTTATTCATCAAAAATTTTTTTTTTAAAACAATAGTGTTTATTAAATAATATATCTTATTTATAAAAGCAATTAAAACTTTTTCTAATTAAATAATGTCTTAGTTTTATTGCATTTTTTTTTTTACGATTCAAACTTTTTTTCTGTAAATGGGGGTCCTGTTTGACAAAAAAAAAAAAAAAAATAAAAAAAAAAAATTTAAATTTCCAATTGATTAAAAAAATTTTCTAAAAAAAAAAAATAAAAATTAAATTGACAATTTTTTAAATTTAAATAATATTTTTTTTTAAATCAATTTGTTTTAAAAAATTTAAAAAATTCAAATTTCCCATAAATATCTATGACGCAAGAAAAATAACGTTTTTAACTAAAATTTGGTTTTTTTAAAAAAAAATAAAATTTTAACAGTTTTGGCATTTTTTCATCATGAAAAAAAAAAAAATTTAAATTTATTTAATTATATCAATTTTAATTTTAAAAATACTATTTTATATTTAATATGTAAAATATATTAATATCATTATATATAATAATACTTTATATTTATGTAGAATATTATATTATATGCAATATATTAATTTTATTCTTCAAAAAGTCATAAAAAATTTTACTATTTAAAATTTAGATTTTTATATTTTTTTTTATTTTTAAGTTTTTAGTTCGTTATGTTCAAAATACGATATGGTTTCAAATATTGATATTTTTTTTTAATAAAAAAAATCGTTTTTGAAATTTTAAACTGATATTAATCTGGTTATTATTTCAACCATTGACCAATTTTTTTCAATTCTTTTTGTTTTTTTTTTTATTTGTGATAATTCAAAACCTTTTATTGATTCACAAGAAATAATAAAAAAATATATATTAAATTATAAACTGTCATAAATTGCGTCACGAATGAAAACTTTTATCGAATTCAACCTAGTAAGTAAAATATTTATAAACATTATTTCATCTGTGTTTGAATTTTTTAAAATAAATTCACTTATGAATCCAAACATCTACTAACCTAAGAATTAGTTAAGACTGGTGAAACAATGGTCTTATTCTTAAAATATAAAAAAATATCATTTGCATAATTCAGTATATAAATTTTTATTTATTTATTGAATAAAATTAAGATGATAAAAATATAAATTTTGTGTTTTTTGAAATTTTTGGAAAATTCATTTTTGTGCGGTAAATCTTTTAGGTAGGTGGAGGTATTAAGTAATTACTATTAAATTGTATTTATTTTAGTAGTAACAATTCATATTAATATATATTTGAGGTAATGATGGTACTGGCTTATGCAATCACAATGGACCACATTCTGCATCCTGACATTAGTTTCTGTTGACTTTATTTGCTCGCCGAACATCAGGTTTTTTTTGAAAATTGAAAACAATTTTTAAATAAATGAAAAAAAAATAAAAACTTTTTCATTCCTTATTTGTGCATTGTTAATATTAAAAAAAAAATTTTTCAATTTGTTACTTATTATGAATAAATATTTTTTTTTTTTTATTTCTTTTTATTGCGTACTTTTTTTTTACTTTTTACTAACGAAATGAATAAATTTTTTCTTCTCTTTTTTCCATCTCTATTTTTTATTTATTTAAAATAAAAAAAATATATTTACCATAGATAATTTTTCCTTCATCATCATTATCATCACCATTATTATTTCAAATTAATTTTTTCTTCTTTTATATTTTTAATAGATCTTTCTCACATTTAACTTCTTTCAGCATTTTGTATATAAAAAAAACTTATGTATATTTGCAGTCAAGTTGAAAAATAAGTATTTTTAAAAAGATGGAAAACATTTTCTTAAACAATTTATTTAATACTTTAAGGAACGTTAAGAGCAAAATGTAAAATATTTTTTAATTGATTGTGTTGCATTTTTTTTCATTTTACAACCTCCTTGATGTTATCTATCTATCTATCTATCTATCTGTATTTACGTAAATATATTTTCTTAATTAAAAAATTTAGAAAAATTAAGAAAAAGATTTAGTTAGAAATTTTTTTAAAAATAATAAAAAATGTTTCTATATATATTAAAACTTGATGTGATTTTTTGGGACGCTATAGAAATTTCAAAGAAAATGTATATGCACTGAGAAACAGTCGTTCAAAAAAAAACAAAACATTCCTGTTTTAATTTTTGAAAAATTCCGATTCATATATATCAATTCTTAAAAGAAATTTCTTGAATAATAATTATAGTTAATTTGTATACAGCTGATTGTGTTTGATTTTTTGTCTGCCTTTTGCTGTTGAGTTTGATTTAAAATTCAATAATACCAAAAATGATTAGAAAAAATAGATTGAAAATTAATTTTAAAAAAGTGAAAGAAGTTTTTTGTTTAATAAATAGATCTCTGTTCATAAAAAAAAAATCATAAAATGAAGAAAAATTAGATTTATTTAATTTTTGGAATAGGTATCTGTAACATTTTAAAATATAACAAATCAGAAAATAATTAAAAAAAAAAAATTTAATTATAATTTAGAAATAAAAAATCAAATCAAAAGTTCAATGTTTGAAATTTAATGTATTTTAATTTCTTTCCAACGTTTAAAAAATCCTGAATTTTAATTTATTAATTGAAATTAAATTTTAGTTCGTAATTTGTATTTATTTACACTTAGAATAATTGGAGGAAAAGTATCGTTAATTTTCAAAATCTTGTTTTGGCACTAATTTAATAATGTCTAGGCAAATAAATATCAATAACTGTGCCTTACAATATATATAAATACAAACTTTTTAACCAAAAAAAAATATTTCTTAAACAAAAGAAAGATTTCCTACATAGTTTAAAATTATCCATTGAATTAGTAAATTAATTTTATATTTTCAAGCACAACCACGATCTAAATAAGTTTTATAAATTAAAGTTTATTTTTAACTTTTAGACGAAAAAATTTGAAATGAAATTATTGATTAGCCAGTTTTTTAAAATGTTATAATTTTTTTCCAAATATCTCTTTTCGATGCCGGTTTCTTTAAATTTAAATGATTTGGTGATAAAATAAAAAAAAAATTAAAAAAACATTTTTCGAAAAACTTTTAAAAATTTAAATTTTAAGGAAATTAAATTTTCAAATTACATATATCAATATCATTTTTCTTTCGTTTATTATACAATAAATTATATCCCACCGGCCTCCAAATTTTTATTTCTTTGAAAACGCAGCTTTATTTAAGAATATTTTTTAGATGTATCAAATTTAAAAATTTGCAAACTAAGCGTGAAAAAAACTTAAAGTTTCATTAAAAGTATTAGATTTATTTCGATGAATTTTAAAAATATTCATTGGTCGATATATATATATAAATGGATATATATATATATATATGATATAAATAAGATTTAAAATAAAAAAAAAAAAAAAAGAAGTGATTGCATCTCTTAAAAATAAACCCATGAAACAAAAGTTTTATTTTATTTCGCCAGATTTTTTTTTTAATACATGACATAATACATCATATATATATATAAATATATATATATATATATATACGAGAGG